GAGCTATAATATTTTTTAATTTTAAAAAAGGCAGAGTTACATGTACAGGAAGTAACAAGTTTCAAAACCTTAATTTGCAAGAAATACAGCAAAAACAAGAAAAAGTCAATTTTTGTCGGTTTTTTCGATATCTCGAAAAGTAATATGGCAAACGATATATTTAAAAATACAAATCGATAGGTTTTTTTAATAACTACAACTTTCTCATTTAACTTTTTTCGATTGGAGTTCGTTTTTTTTTATTAGCGAAAAACCGTTTTTTTAACATTTATGAATTTTTTAGGTTGTTGTTTTTGTATGCATTTATGAGCCACAGAAAAAAACCTTATCTTTCTTAGAATTTTTTTCCGATATCACCGTATTTTTTGTTTCCAGGTGGTATTTTTTGTAAGCTCTTCTGTAAGCTATTGGACTGTAATCAACAGAAGAGATCTGTCGATATATTATTGCCATAAGGAATATATTTCGAATTTATCAATTTGTATCCACTCGTATATTATTAGTGACAGAAAGTAGAAATCAATCTAAAAAATATTGGTTTTAAATATGAAAAATTTTAGCATACGTTTGATAGATATAATTTGCTGACGTAAACAGTACGAAATGCAATATCATTATTTAATTTGTTTAAACCAACGGCAATTTTATTCTTCTTGAGATTTTTTTTTTGTAATTTGTCCATTCCAGGAAAAAAATTGTTACAATCGTAATATATTTTAGTAAATAATTTACATTGCAATAAGAAATTAAAATAAAATTCTAAAAATGTGGATGGAACAGGTTATTTATTTAGGAAATATAGAGGATATCCCAAAATTAACGTAGGTTGATAGATTGTGAAAATTCGTTACAGGTAAAAGAATATGTAGCTGAGACTGTGTGAAAATTACTTGCAATTTTTGATAGAAGGAAGGTCCCGAATGAAACTAGACTTTGTCATAGAGAGAGAATTTTTAATTATATGTCTTAATTTATTTGAGCATTTAAAAAAAAGAAAGAAGAAAACAAGTTGATATGAATTTATTTCCTAAAATGATTCATAAGGATACCAGACCTGTTTAAAATTGTGTCAAAGTTGAGTTTATTTTATATATCTGAAATCGTTGTCGTACTCGTTTGAAAGCATTTTAAGAAACATGTTGGTATACACTAAATACACCTCTTTTTTTATTTTTATTCATAGAATCGAATCGTATAAAAACGAAGTTCTCAAAGACTTTGTATTTCAGACAAATCAACTCTGAAGATTTATCTGCATTACTGAAAATGTATATCAAAATTTCACGATAAAAAACTCTAAAAATAAATGTACTAGTATAAACCACCATATAACGGCGGTTAAACGGGTGGTGATCCAAAAAAAAAAATAACACACTATTTGTCATTTTCTTACAAAATACTTTACATTAGATGTATAAAGATGCACACCAACTAAAAAGTGTCTGGCTCAGATCGTTTTACTTATTTGAAAAATATTTTTTCATGATATACCTTGTGTTTATATACCTAACAAAGTTAATTTATTTTTACTTGTTCTACCTGCTCTCGAAGTTCTCGAGACAAAAACTGTTATTTCAGGTTGTTAGTTTCTTTGGATTCTAAGTCAATATTATGGTAAGAAGGTCAGTATAATCGTCGACGTTTTGTTGTTTTAATACCGCATATTCAGGACAATACAAAAATCACTTTTATTACAAACAGTAATTATTATTAATTAGCCTAGTTCAATGATTTTATAGAGCTAAAAATGAATTAAGCAAGAACATAATTTTAAGATGTGACATCTTAAAGTAAACCCTACAAAGAACTTCTTCAGATATCTTGGAATTTTTTAAAACAATCTGTATTTACCTACTGAATGATACTGAAATCTTAGAAACTATTTTATACAAATTAAAAGCGGTTTGAAGAAGAGAAAAAACAATAGACAATTAGCTAGATACACTAAAATGCGAATACAATATTTATTAATACCTGTATTATTTCCATTTATAAGATATACCTTTTCTTTTATAATTTTGTCTATTAGTTTGAAATAGCATGTATCTAAATTTTGGCTTTTATGTTCTTTATGTTAATAACAGCTTCGGTTTCATCAATTTTAAAATTATATAAATATTTTTGAGCTTGTTCTACAACTATGGTGATTTAACAATCCAAGAGTTTTATATACTTCTTATGTTCTCTAATCCATTTTTTTAGATTTCCATTAGCCTGACCAACATATATCCCATTATAATCTGAACCCGGTATTTCTTGTATAGTGTTACCTACATATTTTCCGGGCCAAGTTGATTTTTTTTATTGCAATTTAGGTAATATTTTTTAAAATGATTTCATTATCGACTATAAGCTGTTTGTTGAATTATTACTTAGCATTGTTGGTATGTTTTTAATTATTAATAACATAAAAAGAAATTTTAAAATGTTTTATATTTTTTGAGATCAGATTGCTTTTTTTTTAATTTTGAGTGTTGTTTGAAATGAGTAGTATTTTAATTAATTTCTGTATCTAAAAGATGAAACAGATTTAAGGGACTTTTTAATAGTAAAGACTTATTTCATTATTACATAGTGATATTAAATTGTTGTTGAAATAATCTATTACGTATTTAATTGCTTCAGATAGCTACTATTATCTCTTTCATAGTTCTTAGCATGTAGCTTTTCAAAACTTCCAAACATTCTCAAAATTGTAATAAATTTAGAAAAATACATTTCTTTTGGTGGTTGTCTTTTGGTATAATTTCCAATATAACTGTTTAAAACCATAACTGCTTATTTTTATTAAAGCACTCCAACATATCACATTTTTCTTCATTGGAATAACGTAAAGCATAATTATTTCACTCACTCAACGCCATGACATTAACGATAAGCTGCTACTTACACCAATTTGAGACTATTCTATAATAGTTTCGAAAAATTATACGATGTTGCTCAGCTTAAAATTCAATATAGCACCCATAGGAAAAATTGATAATGGTTTCTTGCAATCGAAATGTCGCAATGAAAATTCAAATATAGGTACAGTGAAATTCCTCGAAAAAACTTGCTGGAAAGTGGTTTCAGATTTTAAATATTCCTCTAAATAAAAAAGTTACAGACGATTTTCGAAAACGCCACATTTACTTTTTTTCAAAATAATTCAAAGACTGGAAGAGGTAGGACCGGTCTGCAAGCGCTATTAAGTTAGCAACAGAAGTGTTTAAAACTTTCCCCATCACTGCATATTCAGGACGATAAATAAAAACGATCTACGGAAGAAAAGGTAAATACAAAATTTTTGGTTTTTAAGTTACAAGCTTTCAGTCATCAAAAATAAAACTAATTTAATTAATAACTTCATAACCCTTTTGCCGTTCGCGTTAAAATTTGGCACGTTTATTTGCACTATTATGGTGTATTATTTCTTAAAGCTATAGTCAAATCGATACTTTCTCGGGATACCTCTCCCTTTTAGCGGTCAAAACTTTTACAGTGGTCCAATTTTTTTCGGTTTGCGTATTAATGTCACGGACTGAACTTTAAGTTCAGTAGGCGATGAAAACAAGATGTTGATTGATGTGGCTATCAGGTAATGTCATTATGATTGTGTTTCTTTCGGATTCTCATCACTCCGTTCCTTGTAAAACAAGATTTGTCGGTACAAAACTATTTTTGAAGCAAATTATCATCTTCTGCGAGGCCATACCAAGCAGTGGCAAAAATTATAAACGTGCGTTGAGATCTAAATTTTCAAATTTTTGAGCAGGAGTAAAATGAAATTTCTAAATAAGTTGCTTTTTAAAAGTTTTGTGAACATTAGTTTTACATACATTTAATTGTCTTGATACACTGCGGACACTTCATAATTTGCATGTGTGGAGTGATGAGAATCCTAAAGAAACACGACCATAATGACATTACCTGATAGCCACAGCAATCAACATCTTGTTTCCATCGCCTACTGAACTCAAAGTTTTAAATCCGTGACACTGCTACGCAAAGCAAAACACACAGACCTGCAAATAATGCCATTTTTCTCAAAAATGGCTTTCTGCAAATGATGTCCTCAAGGGACAATATTTTTTTTTGATGAAACGACCTTTTTAACGTTTCTGCCAGTTTTATAAAAATACGACCACTGTAAAAGTTTTGACCGCTAAAAGGGAGAGGTAACCGGAAAAAACTATTACCCAGTATATCGATTTGACTAAAGCTTTAAGAAATAATACGCCATAATAGTCGAAATAAATGTGCCAAATTTTAACGCGATCGGTAAAAGGGTTATGACGTTATTAATTAAATTAGTTTTATTTTTGACAACTTTGAAGGCTCAAAAACCAAAAAGTTTTTATTTAACTTTCTTTCGTAGATCGTATTTATTTATCGTCGTGAATATGCTGTCAAACGTTGTCGTCGAAATTTGCGGACACCCTGTATAATAGATGCATCGCTAAAATGGTCCACACTGTACATTATTGACACTACGCCTCTGTGTCATAAAAACTGTGAAGGTGTGTGGAAATTTCCTGAAATTTCTCAAATTTTTCTAACTTTGGTTATACCATATTTGTATATTCACTTTTGTTAGTTTTTCGCTATGTACTATTTTTTTGGCAAGATAAAAGATAAAATTCCACATCTCATAAGGCTGGAAGGTGCCACCGGTGGTGCGTACGCGGGCGAATGACCCAGTTGGGGCAACACGGCGGCACTGCAAACTAAGGCGCGCCCCATAGGTGAGGCGTCGCGGTGCCGTATTGATTGTACAGTTCAGTTGGCGACGGCGACCGGCGTCGCCAACTGCGCGTCTTCGCATTTCCCATTTGCTCTTCACGTCGAGAGTTTCGCACCGCTCGCTGTGATCAATCTAGTCGTCTGTTGGGTTTTGGCGCGAAACGCCGTTCGACGTCGCTGCAGTCAAAATGCTTCTAATATAAAACGAGACATCTTCCTATTATCTCTTCTAAAAATCTCTGTGCCAAAACACTGACACGTGCTTCGCGGGACGAAGGATGGATTGTTGCAATTACATGCAGTACAGGCACCACCAGCCTTACTACGGGTCCCAGTACTACCACGAGCCCCTGCCACCGTACCATGGGGAGTTCTATGGGCAGCACGTGTACCACGACTATTATGGGAACACCCCCTATTATCCACCGCAACATTGGCAGCCTGCCGGCACTTTCGCAACTCCAGGTACGCCCACTTATGGGAAATGTAGGTTATGAGTGTGTTGATTTTTTTATGAATTGTCATTTATAAGCAACTGGTTTATGCGAACATATGTTAGTTTTTTTGGTAATACAATATCCGAAAATTATAGTTTTTTGTTTGTTTAATTACAATAAATTAATTAAATGTATCCACATATTTTTGAATCAAAAATAATAATTTAATCGTACGGAAATGTTAAGTTTATTATAAATCGCATAAATAGTTTAAATAAGTGGAGAAATCTTGGCTCTAAATTGTGAATAAAATTGTGAAATGAAATATTAAATTAATATCTTTAAAATGATTCTAAATCTAAAAGGTGAATTTAATATATTTTGTTTAAAATAACTGATCAACTGCAAATTGTTATTAACGGAAAATAGTAGACAATTATTTTTACCTTTCCTTTTATGTGAATAATATCAATTGCTACTCTTAAATTTAAAAATACTGATTAAATCATTATACTTCTATAATATTTAGTACTAGCAGTTTACGTAAACAAAATATACACGGGTATACCAAAATATTAACCAAATTTTAATAGCAGATTCGGTTTTATAAATTCAAATGAAAAAATGTTTGCGTAGTTGTTTCGATTTCAATATACAGGGTGTTAAAAAATAATGAACAAATGCCCTTCATTTAAAATTGCAAAAAGAAGTTAACGGTGGGGATGTAGATATTTTACTTCAGCTAGAAATAAGAAATTTTAGTTATTATTATTAGGTATTATTATTATATTCCATAAATAACTTAAAATATTGTAAATTTTAGCAATAAAGTTGTGGGTATAATACCTATGCATTTTTCTTAAAATGATATATAACAATTATAGCTTCTACTATCCTGTTATAATATGTAGATATAATAAACAATGAATTGTAAAAGAAAGAAGAAGACAATTTTTAAAATTACATCCTTTTGATTTAAGAATCTAATGCATGAACTTACACATATAAAAAATCTACACAATTGTAATACTGTTGACAATAATTTATAGAAAAAATACGACTAACAACAATTTGTGTAGCTCATTACCAACAAATTTTATTTAAAATGTTGTACTACAATTTTATTGAACTACTACAATTTTATTAAATACTTTTACTTTCTATTTTGCAATATGATACCACATAATTTGTTAAAATTTTGTTTTTGTTTATTGAAAATTGTGCTACCACATTTTCGTTGTTTTTTTTTTTTAAATATTTGTCAATATTATCAAATTTACTAGAAATTATTTTGGGGTCCTAAAAATACATATAGGTACCACCAATTATTACACATAATTTTATTTAAACAATACATTAATTAAAGTTGCAACAGCATTGCACATAAATATAAAAAAACAAAAAACAAATTAGTTTGGAAAACATTGTTAAAGTTGATTACAACTTCTTTGCCTTCAAAATCAATAATATTTTGTAGCTATCAAGTTCAGTAGATAAGAAATTTTGACATCGTTGTAATATCTTCAATTTTTAGGCAAATCTATTTATTGTAATTTGTTTTGTTAATAACTCAACACTTAACACGTCTACACATCTCACAAAATTAAAGGTACCTACCTAATATAACATAATAAAAGGTGTAGAAATAATTGTTACTGCGCATGTCAAGATTAGATCTATGACAACGTTTTTTGAAAAAATTTATAAAGTATGCGCCCAAAGTATGGAATAAATTCAGTAAAAACGAAACAAATTTTTTTGGAAAAAATCCTCGAACAGGTCGATTTTTAATTTAAAAAATACATATTTTAGCATAAAAGGCGATTTTCAACCGCCATTTGTTTTCGAGTAATGACGTCTTCGACATTTTTTTTTAAATAGCAACCCCCTATTTTTTTTTATTCTGAAAGATCGTTTCATCGTCGATCCGACAGTATTAAAATGTTGCCATCTTACATAGCAAAGTTTTCGAATAAGTGACGATTGAATGTTAGAAAACGTAAATTTTTCATTAAAAAATAACAATTCCTATGTCAAGCAAATACAATTCATTAAGTTTTCTACTTAAATTAAGTGTTCGAGTTGCCACCCACCGACTTCTTGACAATACGCAAGTCTGTGTAGAAATTCTTCTTGCACATTATGAATTATTTCTGGACTAACTGTGTATTTCATCTATAATACAATTTTGGAGTTCTTCTAAATTATGTGGTCTATTAACGTACACTTTGGACTTTAAGTAGCCCCATAAGAAATAGTCCAGGGGTGTAAGATCTGGGGATCTCGCGGGCCATTTTATCGGTCCTCGTCTGCCGATCCACCTCCTAGGAAAATAATTGTCTAGAAAATCTCAAACAGGGCGCGCATAGTGCGGAGGTGCACCGTCTTGCTGAAATCATATGGTATCATCAGGAATATCAAGGTCATTATTGTTAGGAAAAAATAGTGCAAGCACTGGAACAAGGCCATTTTGTAAAAACTCTAAATATATTTCTCTTGTAAGGGTTCCTTTAAAGAAGAAGGCCCTACCTACTATTCTGATGTCAACTATTCCAGCCCACACATTTAATTTCTGTGGGTGTTGCGTAGGTATGTGTATCTGCCATCCAATGAGGATTTTCCCGACTCCAATACCCGCAAGTTTGACGGTTCACTGTACCATTGAGACAAAACGTGGCCTCGTCTGAATAAAATATTTGCCAGTGTAAATCTCTATTTACTTGATATAAATCCATAATAATTTCACAGAAGTGTAAGCGGCGGAAGGGATCGTCTTTATTGAGTTCCTGCACAAGTTGAATTTTGTAGAGATGACATTTTTCTTTCCTCAGGATACGTAGCGCTGTGGTCTGACTAATTTCATTGTTTAATGTAACCAATCGTGAAGTATTATGATGATTATCTACCATACTTATCAAAATGTTCTGTTTGTGATCTTCACTAACGCTTGGACGTCCAGGTTTTGGAATATCTACAGCATTGCCAGTTTCTCTAAATTTAAATTCTATCTTACTGACTGTTGGCGATCTGGATGTTTTTTATTAAATAAATCGCAAACTTCCTGCTGCGTTCTAGTCTTATCCCCGCATCCAAATGTGCCATAATACTTTAAATTCAACTATAATTTTTATATTGCTCACAATCCTTAAAAAGTCGGTATGACAGTGAAAGATTTTAAAAAAAAAATTATTTAGTTTTTACTGAATTTATTCCATACTTTAGGCGCGTACTGTATAAATTTTGAATAAAACTACCACATTGTGGTAAAATAATGATTTAATACATATTTTCGTAATATATTGGGACAATATTGTTAAACTTGACTGAAAAAGAAGTAATTATTTTTTGTTTGGAATTCCATTATAATATGTACTTTTTAATCATAAGTAGACACAATTGTGACAGTTTCTATTGGGAGAACCACAATAATATAGTAATTTCTTACCAGGCATTTTTCCCCTGGAAACTAAAATGGGAAGATGGTTACGTACATTCCAAATTTCAATAAAACATGTTAAGCTGTTTTCTTGTAGTTAACATTGTCCGCAGCTTGTCTCAATTTATTGGTAATTTAATAAATAAAAACAAATGAAGTTCAAATATGTTCATAGGCCATCACTTACTTAGTACTCACTAAAATAAAAGTTGTTTCCTTTCTATAATACTTACGATAGAAATATAATTTGACTTGGATATTTCCTAATTTTCATTCTTAAAATGTAACGCCTTTTATCTTATTGCATTTTAGGATCCTCGTTCAATTGTAGTATGATTTTATATAAAATGTTTTGTCTCGAATTCCTTAATTGTTTTCGAAAAAAGTCCATATTGCAATGTTTTGGTTAATTTCAAATATCTTCCGTTAAAAGAAAGATACAAACCTATTGTTTTCACTGTTCATTTATCTTTTTGACTGGTAAATTCATTTACTCCTTGTAAGATAATCTTTGAAATATTTGAGACCGTTTAAATCATTTCCTTCTAATGAAACCACCAAAATGTTTGCCAGCGTTAAATAGGAACTGAATTGTCTTTGTATCGATGTAAGATCGTTTATACCTAAGTATCTCCAACATATTTGAAAATAACCGTATTTCTATAAATTTTACATGAATAAGAGTTGTCTGTCCATAGACACAAAAGTGACCATGATCTATTATTTAAAGTACTATTGAGGTGTAGAAATAATTTTTCAATTACCATTGAGATGTGTGAATTTATTATATGGTGTTAAAATTTCACACAGATGGAATGCATATGAAGTCACTGAGCTCATTGCAGTTACATTTTGTCATGCAAAATTAGTTCAAACATTCTAAAGAGCAAATGGCTTCTACTAGTCAAAAAGATAAAGATTTTCAAGCTGAAACTGCCGATGAAAATCACGCGCTTGTATTCTTCTTCGCTTAGAAGATATTTGAGATTAACGTAGGGACTGCAAACTGAAATATTTTCACCGAATTCGAAAACAAACAATTTAGGGTAATGTAGATTGTTCTATTTAAAAAATCAAAGTTCGGCAACGCCTAGGCCAAACTAAACATTTTGTATAATTTAAATATTTTTGTTGTATGCGCAATCAAAATTGAAGCAACTTTGGCTTAGCTACTTTTTTATAAAATTAATAACAAGGCAGCTATGGAACTACGGAGCTTGTCTGGGACATCCGATTAAACTTTTTTTGTTAATTTTTCAAATAATTAAATAATTCAGGCGTATTTCTCTGACACCGTTGACAAAAATTGAGTACGTGAAACATCATTGAAATATATTTTACATTTATACCAAAATGCTCTCTGGCTACTACTTTGGAAGAAAGAACTTTCCCAAACTTTTTTTTTACTCTTAATAAAATAGTAAACGTAACCCATGAGAATAAAAATTAAGTATACCTTAATATCTTGATCTTCTTGCTTTAAATCTCCATGTCACAAAGCAAATAAAAGTTTTTCTCAGTTGTATACGTTTCGTTAGATATTGTATAGCAGGCATAAGTAACCGATTTGCTGAATGTCACCTCATTACTCT